ACCAGTCACTGCAAAAAGGCATTGTCTGGACAGCCTGCATGCTGATGCTTGTAAGTTTTTCTGAACTAGACGTAAAGGTAAACATAATTTTTTGTTACTGCTCTTTTCAGACTTAAAGAAGAATATATTCTACTGAGTACAGACGGGCCAGGAAGAAACGTGCTTAAATTCAAGCCCCCAATGTGCTTCAGTATGGAAGATGCAAGATTTGTTGTGGACACAATTGACAAAGTACTAACAGGTAGTACAGATCAAAACTGCTTTACAGAGGGTTGCTGTTGGACTGCCCTGAAGTCAATGCTGAGCATGATAGAGCCAGGATGGTTGATGCTGAGCACATAGGAAATCTAGTCTTAGTCTTAACAGCAGTTTAGCCTTCCCTTCTAAATTATTCTGGTTTTAATTCGCAAACAAAACTATTTACTCTACAGATGCATATGCCTTTTAAAATAGCTTTGCTTTTGCAGAGGTTGTTTATTTATCTGAACAATGGGGACTGGTAAAACCTGTCCAAATTTCATTCTTGACAGCCATAATCTGTTTATATTTACCACTTTATCTTTTTACACAACTTCTGCACACTCCTTATTTACCAAGTTAGTCCAAAAACTTGTCTCAAGGTCATGAATTTTCTAAATTGCTATTTTTCTCTTTCCAGATATGGAAAAAGAATGTCTGAACCAAGAGAAAAGATCCACTTGTTCCACCTGAGCAGGTATTTATTTATATTCACCCTTTACTATTTAGAAGCCAAGGTTCCTAAACATAACTCCACAAGCATTGTCACTGCTAGTAGAGCAGAACCAGATTTCCTCAGAGATCTTACTTGAAATTAATTTGCAGGAATTTCTGGCAATCTAGATGCATGGATCGGACTTGTGTACGTCTGGCATTCACAGCTACCTTCTATCAGAATCTGACGCTTCTGGGATCACTGTATGGATTCATTTGTTTGCAAGCTGGGTCTAATATGTCCCAGAAATGCCTACCACTAGAACATGCTGTGCTTGTCTGGGAAGCTTTAAGAGTGACAGGGTTTAACCCTTGGCATGCAAATGACATGCGCATCAAGACAAAAACATAGCTTTTATGCTAGCTGCTCAGTGACTTAAGTCTTCAAACAGAAGTTGTTGCAGTTGCCTAACTATTGCTTAGCAAGTCTCCCCTTAACTGCCCCTTAAGGGCAGAAGCACTGTACATTCTGCATGCCACAATTTGGGAACCTCCACTTACACTAACAGCTTTATGAAGAGCTATAAACAGTACTTTTACTACGATAGGTCCTGTTTGAAATAGTATTGTCTTCTGTTAAGTAGAGTCGAATGTTCTCTTGAGCATTTTTGACTACTTCATAGGATCATTTCAGGTTCATGGCTGTTATCTCATGCTTAAACATCAATTTACTCACAAGTTTATGGGCATTACTAAGATGGAGTCCTCTTAACTTTTTCCAAGCCTTGCAAATCTTACTCTATCTGTTGAGGTCCGTCTATGGCTTGCTTACAGAGAACATCTAGCTGCAGCTGATTTTGCCACACGCTCACAAGCACAGCGTACAGTTAACACCTTGATAACAACACCCTTTGGTACAGTTAGTATTTCTTCAGCCTACTCTGACTAAAAGACAACCAACTGGTTTTTAACCAGGTGCCCAGTAAACCTCTAGGTATGTGGATAGGAACATACCTAATGTAATCATTGTAATCAATGTAGTCATTGGTGGCCTCAGCCACCATACTACATTCACAGTGCTATGACCCTGAGCTAAGGAGAAACATGCTTCTAGTTCAGTGCAATATTAGTATAGCAGGCACAAGAAAAATGTGTTAATATTTTATTTAGCAAGTTAATGGAAAGACATACAGCTGTTTGTACTACTTATTCTCGAGAACAGAAAGATTACTCAACAGTGCCAGTTTAACTTAGAGGCCTAATGACTTAATGTGCTTGTCTGCAATCTAAACTAAGCAAGAAAAATGCCTTTATTTTCTACAGGAAACCAAGAATGCAAAAAGCCTCTTACTAAGTACAGTACTAGTATGACACTTACATATAATGTAAGCAAAAATGAGGCAATGAAGTAGATTCCTTTTAATGATGGTTTTACAAAAAAAGTAACATTATTTTCTTTCCATAGGTTTCAAACAATGTTCAAGATCTACTACTAAGAAACATTATTCTACTATAATGATGCACATTTAGTCTTCATCCTAGCATGTCTTAGACCAGATAAGTTACCTTTGATTTTGTTATTTTCAGTTACCTTGTTATTAGTAAATGCTTTAGAAGAAATAAATTTTACAAGAGCTTGTTTTAACTCTGGCAGAAGTGTGGAATTGGCTTTTATTTAAAACAGCATATCTAAACTTGATTATAAAGGAATATATTTCTAGCAGCTACTTACAAACTACATTTTCTAAATTCGTGCTCTTTCAGATTATGACTTTTTGAAACATAAGATGAGCCAATGGGTTTGGTTTTTTGTTTTGTGGTTTTGTTGGTTTTTTTTTTTTTAAATATCTGCTTCTACCTATGCAAATGCCATTCTAGCTGCCAGTACACCCAGTTCTTCCCAGGCTCCTCTGACCAGTTTCAGTATCCAGTTTCGTAACAAGGTCCCTGGTAGCCCTATATTCAACAAACAGTCTCAGTGACCAGATAAAGTCAAAAACTTCAGTCCCAAATTCATAACATCAAATGCATGAGGAACAGACAGCTGAGGGCCATGGCTTCCAAACCAGTTCTTACAAAATACTCTGTCCTCAAGAAATATCCAAGTAGATTAGTAAATTCAGAGTACATTACAGCCATAAGCAACAACCTTGTGTACCAAGCCCTTGCTTTCAACTAGTCAATTACACATTCTTTGTATCACAAACTTTTCATGCAAAGAAAGGGAAAGCTAGCTCTGCATTTAAGTACCAGTGTCCTCAATTTCTACTTAAGGCCACATCACCTTGTCAAGGAAGCATTACCTGAGAACCTGCTTCCAAAAAACTTCAACGTAACAGCCAGCTAACAAACAATACACTAGCCAGAAGTACTGCAGCGGTATGGTCCTGATACTATGCAAATTCCCTGTTGGAAAGCAAACTTGTTTGCTAGAAAAATATTCTGCTACCCCTTATTTCATAAGAAAACAAGTAACAGTATGCAATAGAGTAAAGCCATTTCCATTTTAAATCTTGAGACAGTAATACCTTTAAATACTGTACTCATTTGTTTCAGTGGTCTGCATTTTTTTTTTATTTGCAAGTAAATTGGGCATTAGGTTACATACTCCAGCTGTAAAGACTGGAGATTTAAAACCTATCAGATTTAAAATCTGATTCAACTTTTTATTCAAGATTTCCATTTAACCCCAGAAAAGTCTTACAGACTTCTAACTTCAAGTTTTTCTTTTTAAGTACAGCCAGCAGGGAGCAGCATATTACAGTCCCCTGCAGGAATAGCTGCATCCCTTGTTAAAAAAAGGGAAAAGGTCACTAGTAACATCTGTTTATGTCTTGCTTTAGTTACTTGGTTTGATTCCACTTCTGGTTCCCATTTGTTCAAATAGAATTCATTACAAGAAAAAAAAAAATTGTTGGGGTTTAACTTTAAAAGGAAAGTGAAAATCAAAATTGATTACTGCAACCAAGATTAGAAGTTTACTTTTGTGCAGCAACACTTGCTATTTATTTGTAAATCTGAGATTGGGACTATTCTACAGCAAGACAGGCAAATCACATGGTAGGTATTGCCTCAAAACAATGGTAAAAAAGTCAAAAAAAGGAGAGCATATTTCTAGCTGGTCACTGATCTCTAGAGAAAGAGATGACTCTTTAGAGGCAGCTTTTTCCCCCCCCCGACTCACAACTTTAGTGGAATTTCTTTAGCCTTTTTTGATACACATAAAGGCTGATAAAAACACTCAGACTCTGCATTGGTAATGTAATGTCTGTCTAACCTGTCTTTCAAGAACTTGTAAAGTCTCAGACTCAAGACAGTGAAACACGAGGGAAGTGCAGCTAGCTTTCTGCACACCTTCTAGCTTTCTCCTGCCATGCTGTCTAGATTCCCAAGCCCTACCTGAAACCTATGCCTCTGGCTTCTCCTAGCAGAGCCCTACAATGCAGACACTAATAGAGTCATTATGCTGAGCCTCTGTGCTTGTCTACAACATGAGCCACCAGCACAGCCTCCACAACAGCCGGGGTTTCTGCCCAAGTTCTCTTCCATATCCTCCAGGCAGAAGTGACTGTGGTTTTTAGCCACCACTTAACTGCAATGAGCACAACTACTAATACAACCTTCTAGTTCAAAGATTAAAATCATTTAAGCACAACTCTTCACCTATCAAGGTACTGCCATGAACTACTTTCTGGGAACAGTATACTGGCGTTTTACTAATACATAAGCTGAAGAATGGCACAAGACACTAGATTACGCCTTTTTTATTTCAAAAGCTAGGATAGCTTCAATATCCATGTCATGGTGAATCAGAACACATGTAAAATACCTTACAATACATTAGATTCCAAAAAGGTACCAAAAAGTACAGTAAAATTAACACTTCCATTACAGGAAATGTATGACACAAAAACAATACAAAATAAAAAGGTGGAAAGTGACACTGGTTCCCTAAGATGCATCTCATTCTGTACAACTGGAGAAATGCAGAGTCCATAGTTAACTCCAAGAGGCAGTCCCTAGATGCAGAGCTGCAGCTTTAAGCAGACCCTCAAAATCAGTTTCAGTTTAACCTATTAATAAAATCATTAATTAATATCTTCAGCAAGGCTAAAATTTACACACCACACTGTCTAGACAACTAGTTATCTGTAAGTATTAAACATGTAAAACATTTCCAGGGAGCTCTTCCAAGTAAGATGCACATTTAACAGGCCATAGAAATTTATTGTAAAGTTAAATTTGGTACAGAACTGAAATATCCATCTACAGCATTGTATACAAAACCTATGCAGTCATTTTCCAAAAGAGACCATGCCACTGCATACCTGAATAAGTTTGATCAATATGGCTTGTAGTTATTCTGATGACCACCACGTCTTGGTGTCTTCCCATAATTTGCACTGCCTTGACCTATGAACAAGAGAACAAATGCATTAAACTGCTAATTAGTTACGCTTGCTTATACCCAATACAGTTCTCTTTACTTACTGTAATCATAGCCTGGTCCATATCCATAATACCCATATCCTGAATAATCATAGCCTCCATAGCCACCATAACCTTGCTGATAGCCGTATCCTTGATTCCCATAACCCTGGTTCCAGTAATTGCCATAACCTTGATTCCAATTTTGACTTTGAGCTATAGAAGGGAAAACCATCCACAAAATCCCATTTTAGTACACACAACTTATTTAGAATGTGTCCATACTAAAGTAGTGCGTGTGGTACTTACCGCCACCTCTTCCACCTCTGCCTCTTCCTCCATAGCTACCTCTTCCTCCACCACTACTGAACTGTTGCTGCTGGTATACTTCTTTTGGCTGTGCTACCTTAATCTCGCACTGAAAATAAAAAAAACAAGGAAGAGTGTGTATACTGTCTTATAGCAGCAGCATGCAACCTAACCACCTAGAATGCCAGAGGTTGCTCTAGAGGCAAAGGAAGTATACATGCTGTGCTCCATCATGTGACCAGGACTAATGCATATCCATAAACATCTGATTTGTTGTGCCGCCTGGGCAAAGGTAAGTCACTGTTGGTCCTTCAAAGCAGGCCACTGCTTTCAGAGTATTTTATACTGCCTATTCCCTACCACCAGCTTCCCCATGGAAGAGAAAGGTTAGTCATTACGGGCCATACAAAGCAGGCCAATGCTTTCACAGTATTTTAATACCGCCTATTCTCTACTAACAACTCCCCCATGGAAGAAGTGCTGAGGCCACCTCAGCATAGCCACTGCTCCTGTAGGAGCCACAAGGCTGCCCTCTGTCCTGGCACAACCTCTAAGACCAGGCTGTTGCTATTGGACCACTTCACCTGAGCTGCACTGAATGAACAAGGCTCTGAGAAATGCACCAGAACGAGTTTTCCTGGCAGCCTTTGTACAGCCTATACCCTGAGCATCTGCATTGGACTGTAAAGTACACTTAGCAACACTTGAAACCATCACTTATCAAATACTAAGAACAGCTAAAAACAACCAGAATTGACATTTCCAAGACAGGTTCCCAAGCTGCAGTTCAAGCTGTCAGCCAGTTTCCTAGTTCCTGAATCCTTGCACAGTCCAAGATGAAAGCTACTGCTGCTGTGAAAGAACAACTCCCTGTGATAGCAGCACCTGAGCAAGCCTGGCTTGGAATTCTTCACACAGGAGCTTTAAGGTAATAACTTGCACTTTTTATTATCACTATGACACGAGAACAAGCCATAGTCACGATACACAGATAGGATTTCTCAGCTCTCTTTGCACATAAGCATTCATCTCTCCTGAAAACAAACTTTTCTGCTAACTACTGTGTCCTGACAATCACCAGTGCATTAGGTTTGTCAAAATTTATTCTGTGCTGTCAAGACCAGTCGTAAACTAAGTGCAATCTAAGTCACTGTGCCACACAGCATGACCAGATCTAATAGGGCTTTGAAGTTAGCATATGGTCAGCGCTGGCCATGGAGCAAGGGAAGAGGAACACCTCCAGCCATCATACATCATTTGCCTCCAGTCCTCTTCTCATTAGCTTAACACATGAGCCTCTATTAACTATTCCCACAGATGAGCACTGTCAGCTGTTCAGAACACCACATACCACTTTTACAGTAGTTCACATAATCAGCTGACCAGGTACAAGTTGCCATAAGCAAACATTTACTCTCTGCATCCTTGTATTGGGTTTACATGACAAGGTTTTGGTAGCAGGGAGAGCTGCAGAGGGGGGGCTTCTGAGAGAAGACACCAGAAGCTGTCCCCATGTCAGACAGAGCCAGTTTCAGCCAGCTGCTTACAGAGTTAGTGGCTGTAAGCCTGAATTTATGTAAGTGCTCTATGCTGAAAACAGGTATGTATCTGTTGAAATGGCTTCTATTGATAGACTGATACATAAATAAGGGAGATTTTTCCATATGTGTTTTCATAGAATCAAAGAATAGTTTAGGTTGGAAGAGACCTTAAAGATCAAGTTCCGACCCCCCTGCCATAGGCAGGGACACCTTCCACTATTTAATGAAAGCAATTAGATACTTTACATAGAAAAGTCCTTAGAACATAGCAAGTGTTAAAGCCACAAAAGTATTGGCAAAGAACCTCAGTAGCCTCTGCGACTGAACTTACAGGAAAAAAACCACAAACCAAAACAAAACACTCTGGTAAACTGCAAGCTGTCCTTAATTTGGGTACCTTGAAATCAGAGGTCTCCAAAATCCTTTTCAGATTGTAGATATAGTGGCATTATACTTAATAACTTGGACAAAAATTTAAAAGTCAAAGTTTCTACCTTGCTTCCACTGACGTTATGGAATTTCTTCTCCAGAACCTTCTTCACCGGATCCTCTTCCTTGAAAGTGATGAACACAAACCCCCTCCTTTTGTTGGTCTTTGGATCCATTGGAAGTTCAATTGCTTCAATCTGAAGACATGAAATACTGTTTTCAGACTTGTATTTTAGCAGAACACTTAAATGCATGACATTTGGGAGAGTAAAACAGACAGTAAGTTGCCTAACGATGCATATTATGCAACACCAAAGTTGCAATATTCTCTACTAACATTGGCTTTCAGACCAGAGGTTTCAATTTTACAACTCCTGAAAACAATTTTAACATTAGGTAAAATGGTATGAGTTAGAGGCAAGGGTTTTTAAGTAGGAATGGAAGCATCTAGTGCAGTGTGTGCCTTCCTTGCTCTCAAGACAGGAAACCTCTGTATCAGTTATGGAAGACTTGATACATCTGAAGTTAATTTAATTTGCAACTTGCAAATTATTAGTAAACTAAACAGCGACTGTTTCAGTGTTTACTATGAGAACATTACACACCTCTCCAAATTCTCCAAAGTATTCCCTGATTTTCTCTTCTGTGGCTTCTGGGTTTAGTCCACCAACAAATATTTTCTTCACTGGATCCTTTTTCATTGCCATGGCCTTCTTGGGGTCAATTAGTCGTCCATCTAGCCTGTGTTCTTTCTGTTCCAGAACCTGAAAGATAGTTTGATAGGATTAACTCAAGCTAAAAAGTTTTCCCTAGAAATTAAGAAACAGAAATATGAAGTTTAAATTCACCTTTTCAACACTCCCAGGTTCTTTGAAGAGAATAAATCCAAAGCCTCTGGATCTTCCTGTGTTAGGGTCCATCTTTATCGTACAGTCGGTTACCTCACCAAATTTGGTGAAGTAATCTTTCAAATCTTTTTTGCTTGTATCCCAACTGAGGCCGCCAACAAACATCTTCCTGAAATTTCAAAGAGACAACAGCTATTTAGATCCAGGAAGTACATCAGAAAAGCACATGCAGCAAGATGCTCACAGTGGTACACACCTCAGCAGCATTGTCAGAAACAAGATCAACTGTTAAAAGTCTATCACTTTTGCATCTTGTGAAAAGCTAGTGATACTGTGGGAATGCACAAGGCAGGTTTCTCGCCTCTCTTTTGAGGGAATGACACAATGCACCCTGAAGTTTATTACAGACAATGAGAAACACTGAAAATTGCCTAAAATATTCCTTGCCTTATGTTTTTTTAACATTATCTAAAATATTCCTTGCCAGTAATTTACATTCTTTCAACAATATTCTGTTATTTGCAACAAAGCAGTATTGATTATAAAGTACTGCCAACTCAGTTTTTGGAAAGAACCTAGCATCATTCCTACTGCTTTGAAAGCGCTCAGGATAGAATAAGGCATCAAAAGCAAAATACTTGAGGCCTTTTAGGATTCGGACAAATAAATGGCTGTAAAAATTTTAGTCCTAAGAACAATATGCAAAATTTAAATGAGGTATCCACAACCTCCAAGAACAGTCACATACAACAGAAGGGACTTTGGACCTGCCTTAACTACTGTGTTGTGCACTTCCTCCTTAGTTACTGAATCTAGCTCTATCTTCATCAGTACTACAGGAGTATCCTCCACTATTAGTCTTTACTTTCATGAAGGGACAGTACAGGAGTTCCCTGCCCACCTTCCCACACAAAATATCCTCCGAAGCATCTCAAAGAGCTAAATACCAGTGAAGCACAATACAGAAGTGAAGCTAACAAACAAAACTTAGATCAGTCAATAAGGCATTTTTCAAATGCCTCACTTCAAATGAAAACATTAATAACATGGCTGTATTTTCTATTTTCAGAGTTTCCAAGGTAACAAACTAAGCTTTTAAAAGCATTCAAGCCTTTTTATCTAACTATAGACTAAAGCAGTTTAAGATGTCATTATTCTGTTTAGAGGCAACCTAGATTTGGCACTAGAAGCTAGCAGCACTTTAGGAACTAGACTATGTTTAAATAAAATTGGCTTTTGGTGTTTATGTGTAACTTTGATTTTTTAAAACTAGCGTCCATTTATGTTCAAAAGGCAACATGAGGAAAGAGAAAGTATAGGTGCTATGTTTTTCTTCCTTAAACTGGATGAAACCGTATCCTTTGTAGGCTAAACCCTTATTTTTTCAGAAGATCAAGCTGTCTACTCTTAACTGAGAAGTGCAGCGTGATACATAGGGTCCAAGTAAAGGCTGCGTGCTTCTTGCAGCCATTATAATAGAGCCTTACAGAAAAGGCCTTACGAAGTTTACTAAGCCTTTCAATAACAGGTGAAAGAAAGGTAACTTGATGGATTCCTTCTCATCACAACAGTTTACTGACCACACATCACTGCTACAGTCTGTACAGACTGACAGTGGTTTTCCATAGCATACCCTGTCATCACTGACTTGCACTTACAGAATGATCAAGAGAAATTCAATGGTTAGGGGATGACAGGATTCTGTCTGGAGGTAGCTTTAGCTGCTTTATGCCATCAGGTTGGGGCTGTGGTGCACACACAGATGTTGCCACACACTAAATTCACCTCTTACCACAGCAGCAGATATCACACTTTGTAATTTACAGTCCTTTGTTTTGTTATTGGAATGATTGATACCTACATATACCTAAACACCACAATGTAAAACTTTTGCAATTAAGACCGAATTCTAAGTATGTGGCTTTGCCATCAGAGGCCACTCTTAACTTGTAGTCTCTTTTTTTCCTCCCAAGTGTATTAGTGCAGCTAAATCCAAGCACGTTTCAGCTCTTAACAAAATACTGCATCCTGAACTGTGCCTTGGACAGCTCTTGTTTTAGCACAGTGCTGAATTTTTCACATAGGTCAATCCTTCTTAATAACAGTTTTTCTTAGAAGTTTCATTTCACATGAATTTGGGGTTGAAACTTGTCACCTCCTATGCGAGAAAGGGAAAGAGTATCACCCACTTTTCAGGGCAGAATACTAAAAAAGTAGAAGAAAATACACACACAGCTACAAGGCCTGCTTCTCAATCCTTCTACTGACTGCAAAAGGTACATCCGGCCCTAGGTTATAGGAAACTCGTGCAAATCTTAGTCCTTCCCTTACAGCCAAAAATCTATTATGCTACTATGGCTTCAGCTCTCTGTTCAACCTGAGGTATCCGACTCCGGTTCAGAGCCCAGGGATAACAAAGGGAGTTCCAATTAAAAACACAGGGTAGCTTGATTACCAAAGACCTGCTTGGGAAACAGGCAGGTAATTTTCAAGTCAAGCACATATAGTCATCAACAAACTAACTACAATAGGAAAGAAATTACTCTTTTGTACACAAGGATGCCACTACCAAAACACAGCGAGACCACACTGACTCCTCCAGAAAGCACTTATACGAGATAAGCTGTTTTCTGACAATGCTGCGAAAGTAGTACACCAAAATCGCTCTTACTGGTTCAAACACACGGCACATCATCTCAATCATGCTGTTTTTCCCTCACTCCCTCCAAAAATACTTAGCTTACCTCGACTGGCTTGCAAAGGTAGGATTTTTTTTTTTTTTTAAGATGCGTTACACAAAACGCGCTCGCATTTACACCGACGCCCGTGGCGATCGGTCAAAGCGATCTCCACAAAGTTTGAACCAGCCCACCCCGTCCCGACAGAAAACAACTCCCTCCATCCGCTCCTTTCCTTAGAAAAGGAAAAGGATGAGGAAAAAAAGCGGGATGCGAAGCGAGCCGAGGTATAAATCCCCTTCCATTTTACAGCGTGAGACGGCAACAAACCCGCTCCCCGCCCCTCCCCCCGCCACCACATGGCGCCAACAAAAGGCAGCTCCAGAACAAAGGACCCGCTGCTGCTGCAGGCCCGCCGCCTCACCGCCCGCCCGATCCCTCCGCACCGGGGCC